TGAAGGCAGAAAGACTCTTAGAATCTATTGTCCCTATAGGCCAGACCTTCCTAACGTGGGGTCCACGGACCCATGGATAGATTTCAGAGAGTCCATGAGCTTAGATGGAAAAAGAAATGACATATTTCTTTTCACTAGCTAAAATTTAGCGTTTACTTCTACTTTGAATGTTGCCAACTAACCATTATTTTGAGAAGGAGAAAGGGGTCTGGGCTGAGGAGCTTGAAGGCTTGTGGGTGCCCTACAGGGAAGTGAGTGGTTTCCCATGTTTCACACCCCTGCTCTCAGAGCAAGAAGATCCTCTTTGACCAGAGTGGCTGCCACTTACAATAAAGAGTTTTACCAGATCACCAAAGGGGTGGATGACACAAGAAAAATTAAGAATTTGTGAATTGCATGTAGGCACCCCCATGTCCTGCTCCCCCCTCCCCCCCCCGGGGCAACACTAGACTTGGAATCAGGAAAACCTGTGTTAGAATCTGAGACACTTCCCCTGGGCAAGTCACTTAAACTCTCAGGACCTCATCTGTAATATGGGGATAATAATGTCGCCTACCTCCATGGGTTGTTTCCAGTCTTGAATAAGATAATATTTTTATGTATGTAAAGCTTTGCGCTCCTTAGTGCACCATGTAAATGTGAAAGAAGGTTTTTATCCCTTTCATTTACCACTTCAGGGTTCTAAGACAGATAGGAGAGTGTCCCCCTCTACCACCTCCACCCCCCTTCTCTTGGGCTCTTTAAATCACCCCTGCAGGAGTGGGGCTGAGGAGCTTGAAGGTTTATGGGTGCCCTATGGGAAAGTGAGTGAAGGGTTTCCCATGTTTCACACCCCTGCTCTAATGAGGAACAGCCTTAATTAGCTGTATTGCCTCATGGCTTTTGGCCTTAGGGAAGGCTGAGCTGAATCCAGGCGGTTTTCCTCTTTGGTAGGGGTCTAGGGGGTAGGGGTATTAATGGATAAATGATCAAGGGCTTCCTTCCATCTGTGTTCCTCTCCCAGGAGCTATGGTGTTCCCCTGGCCCAGAAAGCTACGGAGTGATGCTCAGGGCACTTTTTGGCAGGGGAAAGCATAAGCCCTTTGCAGTTGTGTACCCCAACTTGTCCCGAGGCCCTTGGCCTCTCCCAAAATGTCCTTTTTCCATGCATGTGGCACACAGACAAGGGTGATGTTGCAGATTCCATGATTGTGGCTTCTGGCTTCAGCAGGGTTACAGTGGGAGACGAACCTCTTTGTATTCCCCCAGCTCCCCCGCCCCCCCTCCCCCTTTCCAGCTTCACATTCCATGCTTTCTTTCTTTCCATCCCTTATTTTGTCTCCTTATAACAGAACTGGAGAGCAGGGATGGTAGCGTGCAGGTTGAGTCGCTGCAAAATCCGGGTGGGCGGATGAGCAGCGTGGGCGGCATGGGGGAGGGGAGGCTGAGGGAACAGCTTGTATTGCATTTACCAGCAATTGTTTTCCCCTCTCTCTTCTTCCCCCACCTCCCACCTTGCTCTTAGACACACACACCCAGGCAAAAGCCCACAGGCTGAGTCAGTGTGTGGGGGAGGGAGCTGATGAGTCACAGGTGTGGGGGGAGGAGGGGGGTGTCCCTTCCACAATATTCTCGCTGTGGTTGCCTCCTGCTGGGATGACATGACTTTTAAAAAGAAGAAAGAGAGATGTAAGCTGCTTGTCTTTGAAAAAGCATCTCCTGAAAAAAAGGATTTGCTGGACGGGAGTACCAGCACATCAGAGGCCTGACTTAAGGATGTGCCAGCCAGCACTGCTCATGAGTAACTGCATGGGGGTAGTGTCAGGCTCCTGACCATTCAAGGAATGGGGAGAGGGGGTGGGTGAGTGGGTAGGAAATAAGACAAGAAATGGGGATCTAGAAAAGTCTACCTGTCTGAGCTGGGAGATGTTTTAGAATGATCTGGAATATCAAATAAAAGAAACTCAGGAATAGTCAATCTCCTTCCACCAAAGTTCTTTCCTAATGTTTTATGGTTAGGACTCTCAAAGATTCCTGAGGAACAGGCATTATTAGGCCAGAATATTGGCCTGTTGTAGGACTGACTATGTATATGTTGTCCAAGAGCCCAACCTAGCTCAATCCCTAGCCTTGGGATGGTTGATTGGCCTCAGGGTTTTTGGAACCACATAGACTCTTCTGAAGGAATGGGAACTTTGTTGGTACAAGGAGCAGACCACCTGAACCAATCACAGATCTGTGGAGTATTAAAGGGTCCAAGCAAGCATGTCCTCATGATTACAGGAATCTTTTAGAACGCTCCTGTTTTTTGTACCCAGCCTCAAAAAGGCATCTCTCTGGCTAGGGAAGAATGAATGAATGAGGGACAGCTAGGTGACGCAATGGATAGAGCTCTGGCCTTGGAGTTAGGAGGATCTCAGACATACAACACACGACACTTACTAGCTGTGTGACCCTGGGCAAGACACTTAACCCCGATTGCCTAGCAAAAAAGAAAAAAAAAGTGAGTGAATGAATGACATCTCTTAGCAGAGTTTCCATCTTTGCTTTCCCTCCTGAATGTCCCTTCAAGATACTCAAAGTTCGTACTTGGTAATTGTAGTACCTTCAGTCTATGTTCCCTTGTTGGGACTGTGGACTATAGGCTATGGAAGTAGATATAAAAACAAAGCAAGCAAACAAAAAGAAATAGACACAAAAACCCTCATAAGGAAGAAAAAGAGGGGGTGGGCAGGAGGAAAATAATTTCTTCAAAGGCACTTCTAGAAACTTCATCCCTGGGCAGACCCAGAAGGCAAGAGACTTGATAGGAGAGGTGGTCAGATGCCTTCAAATTTGATGTTTCTATCAGTAGGATCTAAGAGAGCAGTTTTGAATTGGGAAATGTCAAGATTACAAATGCTCTTCCTTGCCAGAAGAGGAAGGTGTCCAGAACAAAGACTACCAGCCAATGTCATATCTTCAGTCAATTCTTCATCATCTGAAAAGCCTTGGAATCAGAAAATCTAAAAATCTCTGTTTTGGGAACACACACACACACACACACACACACCTACTCCCCACCAGGGGAAAGTGCCTTCCCAGTTATGGTTTCTGTAGCTAATGTTCAAGTGGAGTAACTGTTGTGATGGAACATATAGCTCCTTTAGAGTCAGAGACAAGTTCAAGCCCCACCTTTGACACATATGGGCTCTAGATAAGTCCTTAAACTCTAAGACTATAAATTAGAAAGGAGGTGCCACTGTGCTTTGGTGGAGGGAATTTCCTTAACAGGAGGGCAGCAAACTAATTGAGAATCACTGATCTAGAGGATTCTTTGCCATATCCTGCTTACCAATGTTCAAATGAGTGTGTATTCATTTAGTTTATATTAAACAACTTTTTTAGAAGTGAACAGCCCTGAAGTCAGGAAAGACCTAGGTTCAAGTCCCCTCCTCCGATATATGCCACAAATACCATGTGACCCTAGACAAGTCACAGTGTCCCAAACAAGTCTTTTAAGACAATACGTTGTGGAACAGGTGCCTATCAGTGTTGATAGAGAGAGACTTTCATCGTTGAGGGTCCCAGTACCAGTGAAATCACAAGTCCAGTCCTACCCCCTAAAAAACCCAAGCCCCCCAACATCTCCACCCCCACCACAGTTCATTGAATGTCTTTGAACTTGAACCCTTTGATGGGTTCTGTTTGGTGCAGGCAGCCAGCCTGGGAACAGTCCACATACTATCTGTGAATGCCCTCGAACTAAAGGGCAGTGCTCGTCAATTGGGGGAGGGATGAATAAGTTGTGGCAGAATACCCTGTGAGAAATGAGTAAGTAGATGATTTCAAAGAGCCATGGAAAGATTTGTATGAACTGATGCATGCATAGTGAAGTGAGGAAGATCAGAAATAGAACCATTTATACTATAACATCAAAAACAATTCTGAAGACTTTTGTAAACTAATGAAGAATGAAACGGGCAGAACCAGGAAAACAACATAATTTTATTTTAATACAATAACAACACAGTAAAGATAGACAATTTTGCAAGTTGTCAGAACTGTGATCAACACGTTGACCATCTGTGATTCCAAAGGATATAATGAAACTTCACTATCTGTCTCCTGAGAGAGAAGTAGTAGATTTAGGGTGCAGAATGCTAGATAGAGAGGCAGATATATGTGTGTGTGTGTGTGTGTGTGTGTGTGTGTGTGTGTGTGTGTGTGTGTGTAAATACACACGTTTGTATACAGCCAATGAGGGAATTGGTTTTCTCATCTCTTCTTTTTCACCCAATGGAGTGGGAAGGGGTAGAAAGGAGAGAAAACAGATTTCCATTCTTTTTTTTTTTAAGACTGGTGAGGGGATGCTACAGATGTGTAGATGTGGTATATTGCATACATTTTCAGATGAAGTCACTGTAATTGTTTTGCTTAATTTGTTACAGGAGAACTCTCACAGAATTGGGAACAGTATGTAGATATTTATAATGTAAAATCAAAACAAATCTATGAAATATAATTAATAAAACTTAAAAATCCCTTTTATTAGTAAACTACTATCCCCCTGATGGTGGAACCTTTGCATACTATATTGATCTGATGAATAAAGAAAAGAATTGGGGGAAAGGGGTTGAGGGGGAGTCAGTGGGAAAGGTTGGAAGGTGGTTAAACACAGTTATATTGGGTAGCCATATATTCCAAGTGATGTTAAAATTAGCGGTGTATATATAAGGACAACTTTCCTGGTAAGAAAAATCATGTTATAAAATGAAGGTTTTTAAAAATCATGAACAAGATTTTCTGAAGATTGAAGACATCTTTTGGGATACAAAAAAAAAAAGTAAATGTTCTAGAACTGCATAACAATATAGTTATCAAGAGCACCCTGAATTCATGGCCTCAGAATACATCTCTATTTATGGCTCTGCTTTGTAAGAATAGTACATACTGTTTATACCTGAGAGTCTGCACAGAACCAAATGTGAACATATGTTCTGTAGTCACCAGCTCATCAGTTTCTCTTTTTCTTTCTCTAGTACATAGATGCAATCAGTAACAAGCAAGGTGAATTGGAGAACTACGTGTCAGATGGCTATAAGACAGCCCTCACTGAGGAAAGGAGAAGGTTTTGCTTCTTGGTGGAAAAGCAATGTGCTGTGGCCAAAAACTCAGTCTCCTACCATTCCAAGGTAAGGCTGCTGACCCAGGCCTGTCCAGAAAGGAGAATTGTGGCTGAAGCTCGGTAAGGTGGTCCCAGGGCACCATCTATATTGGATGGGACAGCACTAACAAGTGTATGTACCATTCAAAATTAGTCCAAGGCAGTTTCAGAGGAAACAGAGAAGACAGGCCTCTATGAACTGATTCAAAGAGAAGGCTGTAGAACTAAGAGAACAGTTTGTATAAGGAGAACATTATAGAGGAAAAAAGACTTTAGAATTCTGTTCAGTGTGATTATAAAGCACAAATCCAGAAGAATCAAGATGAAACCTGCCACTCATCTCCTAACACAGACATGATGAACTCCAAATGCAGAAAGACATACATTTTCCAACACAGCTATTGTGGGAATTTTTCTTTTTGTTTTTGCCAGACCAATGCAACAAATGGATTAAGGGCTTTAAGAAAAAATCTATTCAGTGGGGGGTGGAGGGAGGGTGGTAATAGGATGGACAGATTAATAAACAAATAAAAAGGATTTAGGGGAAAATCTTTAAAAAAAATTAGTCCAAGAAGGAACTGAAACACCACTTTCCCAAGAGGGATTTCTCAGAATCCGTGCAAGCTTCTCCCAGCTTTCTGTATCAAATGGCAGATGGTGGTAACCTAAGAGGACTTTCCAGTCTTGTGTTTGTAATTATCTTTCTACTTTTGCCCACAGCCATATTTCTTTTTTGCTCAGGCCTGCCTTTTGGGGGATGATGGCTGTGGTGCTTCTTTGCCTGAGCTTATCCAGGAAGGAGCCCCTTTTCAGCTTTCTTCAAGCTAAGCATACCTCCATAAGACATGCCGGCTTCTTTGAACAGAAAGGGGAAAATTATGGCCAGACAGGTTTTTTTCACAGCAAGAGCAAAATGAGATGGTGGTCTAGGACCTTTAACAGGGTTTGTCCTGTTAGTTTGCCAGCACATGCAGACTTCATGAAGATGCCTGGCTCCTTGTTACATAGATTCTGGTACTTACTCCCTGTTTAGATCAGAATCTCTTAAATAGAGCAACATCCTGACGGATGATACATGCATGGTCCCAGTATATACACAAAAAGTGCCACTCTCTGTATGCTTGTAGTCTTCATCAGCTATTAGTTAAAGAAAGATGCATCCGCGGAAAGATCTTAGATTTAGTGCTGGAAGGGAACTTAGTCCAATCCCCTTATTTTATAGATGAGGGAACTGAAGACTGGAGAAGAGGTAAGTGATTTGCCCAAAGTCATACTGGTAAGTGAGAAAGGTGAGATTTGAACTTAGATCTTCTTGTTTCGATTCCACCCTACTACATTGGTTTTAGGATAGATTAGTGCCTATATTAGAGTCGCTGTTCTTGCTCCCTGGGAAAATGCCCTAACAGTGAGTCTATGATTGTCCCATCTATCCAGAGCAGCTTCCCTCCTGCACCAGGGGTACCTGCCCAGTAGAGGGCGCCTTTCTACTCTCAGGAGCAACCAGCCTATACCTGGGCCAGTCTGAAGAACTGTATTTATTTACTCGTTGTAAATAAATTGCTCCAACACGTAGCACAAAAGCACTTTAAAGGTGCTCTAGTCTGCTAATAGCACACAGGGGAGGGGGATTGGGGGGGAAGGAAACAACAGGGGCAAGCGCCTCTTTGTCTTGTTCAGAGGAAATGGTTAAAAAAAAATCACTAGCAGTGGTCTTTGTCTCTTCCAAAGCACTTTAAGTTGTGTGATACAAAAGTTTGCCTGGGGACTCTGAGGCCTCTGTTCTAGCTCCTTGTTGGGGCGGGGGGGAGGGGGAGTTTGAAGAGGAGGAAGGGGGGGGGAGAAAAAAGTATGAAATATTGAAGTGCTGTTCCAGCCTCCCACTTGCACATTTTCTCCTGCCTACATCTTTCTTTGCAAGACGAAATGTTCTGGAAGAGAGGAGAGGGGTGGGTTGTTAGGCCCTTCATTCTTAGCGATCAGGGTGGAGAGGCAGGCATCTGCTCCCCTCTAGCGGCAGTCAACTGCTGTGGGTCTGTCTCATGACCTGTGAGAGAGAAACTTCAAGCCTCTGGCCTGGTGAGCGTGTGGCCAGGAACTTGACGGATGCCTACCTACCAAGCCTTGTTGGTGACAGGGCCAGGGCTAAGCCTCTTAAGAAGGGTAGGAGATGTATTTATCAGCAAGAGAGAGACAAGCTGGTTTGAAGGATGCTGAGAGGGAGTGCCGTGCCTAGAGGGAGTGCCCTCTCTTTCCTTTGAGCCCTTAGAATTCTTAACTCCTCTGAAGGCTCCATGCCCAGGTGCCACCCCCTTCCCATCTGTTAGTGCTCTCAGTCTGTCCTCAAATTATCCTGGATTTACTTAATCTATGTACATAGATTAGACTCCCTCCTCTTTCCACCACCCAGGAGAACCGTAGCTCTTTGAAAGCAGGGTCTGTTTTCATGTCTCCTCAGCAACTAACACAGTGCCCCAACTAACCAAGTAAGCACTTAATAATGCCAGTTAAATTTAATTGGATGGCTTTTTTACCAATCTTACGGGAATTGTGCTCTTGCCTTACCCCACCCTTCCCTACACCACCCCCTCTTTCACACACACACACACACACACACACACACACACACAGGCCCCAGTAATCTAGAAAGCAGCTGTGTCTGCTGGTTTGCTTAGAGTTTCTGTTACTTTGAGCTTTAAGTGACATTTAATATAAGCCTGCCGAACAGGAACAAGGGTATAACAGATGAGCACCTATGAGTCAGAGCGATTCTTGAACAATCTATGCTGAGTCAATCCCTAGCATATGTTACATGTAACTTACACAAGAGAGAGAGAGAGAGAGGGACTGATCCTTAAAATAAAAAAAATAATAAACCTCAGGGTGGTAAGTGAAGTATTTTCTTCTGTGGATACGTGTGGTATCTACTGGTGATGATGAGGGGAGAGCATTCATTCATTTAGTCATTCATTCAGGAGCCAGGGATTTCTGGGATAGGGATTGGACTTGTGATTCCATTGGCACAGGGAAATCTCTAGGGAGGAAACTCCCGGTACCAATGCAGATTGATACCTTCTTGGCAACCCTGAGAGGTCATACAGAGCCAGCATGTGTCAGGGGAGGGACTTGAACAGCCTCTGGATTTGAGGCAAGCTCTCTATCTACTACTACCATTTATTTAAGGACTTATAATTTTTTTTTCTTGAGGTAATCAGGATTAAGTGACTTGCCCAGGGACTCATAGATAGTATCTGAGGCAGTATTTGAACTCAGGTCCTCCTGACTCCAGGGCTGGTGCTCTATCCACTGAGCCATTTAGCTCCCCTTAAGACTCAATTTATGGAGACCACTACATTAAGCACTGGATAACTAGCCAGTGCAGTGCTTTGTTTTTTGTCTAAATATAAAGACTAGAGGAAACATGGCCCTTACCTTTATGGAGCTCTACCTCTGACTGTCCCAGGCCCAAAGCCCCGTTCTATTGGGAAATTTAGATGATTATAGTCATTGCCAGTAGTTTTCAGAGTACCCTCAGTGTCAGTGCTCTAAGGCGTCATGTTCTAAGTGTCCAGGAAAACCAAGGCTTCTCCAGAAATGAATTCAAACTTTCTTGCTAGGAAATTGGATGGATTCCAGAAGGCAAGGGTAGGTCGAGGGGCAACCTGCGGTGTAGCAGGTTGCTAAGTACTTACTGCATTTAGGAGGGATAGAAGAAAGCAGCTTATCAAAGCTAGAGAGAGTTAAGTATTGGGCTGTGACTCATGAATGTAATCTGGGACAGGCATGCTTGGGGCTTGGCACCTAACTCCCCATGCCAGAAATCAAAACTTACTCAAATCCCATTTGGCTCAGTTGGAAAGCTAAGGAGGTAAAGTGCACATGTTGTATTCTTCCTAGCACTGCAACTTATATGGAAACCATACATTCTCTCAAGTGCAGGCCATGCCGATGACTATCCCAATCACCAGTGACAGTCCCATACTGGCTGCCCCACCACTGACTTGGAGAGTAGGTGGCTAGAAGAACATCGTGAATTCAGGCAAATAGATTAATGTACGACCTGTTCCCTCAGATGTATCCGAAGACTTTGACTTCGTCTAAGAGCCGAGCTGATGCAGAAGTGGGGAGCTTCTGTCTTTGCTAGTATTGCTCTTGGCCCCAGAAGGCAAAGCATGCTGGCATGTCTTATATACATTGTCTGTTTCCTCCACTATCTAACAAATAGTGGTTGTTATTACTGTGACATCTGTGCCCATGAGTGCAGGTGGTCAGTCTGCCTTTTGGACAGCATCGCTCACATCCCTGTCCCAGTGTGTTCTGCTGCCCTCTGGGTCTGAAGCTAGTTCTTTTGGATGGATTGGGCTAGCCTGTGGGGAATCTCCATCCTGTTAGCAGCCTGTGTCCATTGGCATGCCATTCACTAGCTTGTCTGCTTCACTACCTCCCTCCAATTCCCCGCATTCTGGAAAGGGATTATTAGGAGACCTTTGTGAGCTGGACTGTGAACATTAGTCCCCTAGCAACCTTGTCGCCGGTGGCAGGTTCACTCTCTGTACCCTTACACTTTCGGTCAAATGCACCATTTCTGATTGTTTGGCTTTCCTCTCTTTTGGTGGGAGGGTGGGGGGGGAACAGCCTGTTGTGGTACATCAGAGACAAAGAGGCCAGATTACTGGCATCACTCCGGGCTCTCAGGCCTAGATCTAGACAGTGGCAGTTAGTAATCTGCATGAAGCCCTGCCTTGACCACTGCCTCAGCTGCAACCTTGTACTTAAAACTCCACCTCTGTCCAGATCTGGCCCTTAACAGGGCTAGCAGTGGTTGGTATGGGGGATCATGCATTTCCCTCCTGACCTAAATGAACTCCTCTGTTCTCTTTTTTCTTTCCCTCCTTTCTTCTTCTTCCTCCTCCCCCTCCCCCTTCTCTACCTCTTCCTCCTCCTCCTCCTCCTTCTTCTACTAGGGTTAAGGACTTGCCCAGAGTCACACAGCTAGTAAGTGTTGTGTGTCTGACGCCAGATTTGAACTTGGGTCCTCCTGACTCCAGGGCCGTGCTATATCCACTGCGCCATCTAGCTCCCCCTCCCCTTTCTTCTTACAAACTTCCTTGCTTCCTATATATTTTCAGGCATTTAGACCTATCTCTGCTTTATATTTGTCATCTTCTCTCCCCCATTTGGGTACCTTAGATGACTGTGTCTATACTACTGATAAAAGCCTGTTCCTCTGTTCTCTGACATGGAGCTAATAAGTTTAAGGTGGAATGTTGACTCCTGGAAGGCAAGAACCATTTCCTTTTTGTCCCTAGTGCCTCACACACAGTAGGCACTTAATAACCTGCCCCGCACCCTCACTCCGCTGTCATGTGGTCTGGTCTCTGAGAGCCTGCTATGTTCTGGGAGTCCATTGTTCCATGAAAGACCTTCCCGGTGGGACTCAGTCTTTGTCTGATCTCTTCTGGGCTGAGAGATTATGTTAAGGAAGTTGTGTGTCTGTCTGATACTGGATATAGTAGCAGCCAGTGACTAAACCTCAACTGTTTCTGGTTCCTTCCTTCGCTGGGTAAGGCCCACCCTCTCAGTACAGAGCAGCCCTCTCAGGGAAGAGGAGCATGTTGAGCATTGGTTTTTGTGGGAGCTTGGGAGTTTGGTGGAGTGTGTTTTGTTTGCAGGTGGGCCCTGCTATAGCTGGGCACTGACATATGCCCTCCCCTGTTCTCTCTGGTTTCAGGGAAAGGACATGCTGACTCAGAAACTCCCATTGTGGCAGCAGTCCTGTGCCGACCCCAATAAAATCCCAGATCGAGCCATCCAACTGATGCAGCAGATGGCGGCCAGCAGCAATGGCACAGTCATGCCCAGTTCCCTGTCTGCTTCCAAGTCTAACTTAGTCATCTCCGATCCCATTCCTGGTGCCAAACCGCTTCCAGTACCCCCGGAGCTGGCCCCGTTTGTGGGGGTAAGTCTACTCCACGCTGTGTATGACTGAGAGGATTATTAACAGGATTAATGACACCCCTTTGCGTTTGTGGGGAACCTTCCCTTTTTAAAATGTTTCTGAGTAGATTCTCTCCTTGGAGCAAGTATTATTGCTTCCATTTTTACACAAAGAAAGAGACCGTCTGAGGAAGTCATGAGCAGCTTAGAGCAAATAATAAACCTGAGGTGGAGGCAGGACCAGGGTTTGGGGCTCCTACCTCTTAGCCCAGAGTTTATGATTGGATGCTTCCTCCGCCAAAAAGATTGTTTTAGGGTTTGAAGGGAAAAGCACTAGGTCTCATAATATTCAGGCCCATGGAAGGTGGGAAGTGTGGTGTTGAGGAGACAGATTTTTTAAAATGTTTTTCCTTCTTCTTGGAGGCCCATGTCATAAGCAGAGAAATCTTTCAAGCGTGGCTGTCTTTCTTCCACAGCGTATGTCGGCCCAGGAGAACGTGCCTGTAATGAATGGCGTCTCAGGTCCAGACAGTGAAGACTACAACCACTGGTCTGACAGGAAGCCAGCCCAGCCCAAATCTCTGTCTCCTCCTCAGACCCAGAACAAGATGAGTGACTCCTACTCAAACACGCTTCCCGTGCGCAAGAGCGTTGCCCCGAAAAACAGCTACGCAACCAGTAAGGGACGTCCCACTGCCGCAGGAGCGTTGGCTGAGCTCTGCACCCCCCAGGAACTTAACCTATCACTCAGGGACTGTCTGCCTTCACCCCACTGGAGGGACCCCATGCTCTCGTGTCAGAAATGTCCACATCTCTTAGCAGAGGACTGGGCAGAACCCCGGTTAGGGTATAGACCATTATAGGCATCTGCCTTAAAGTGTGCATAATGTAGTTCTGGCATGAAAGGGAGGGGGATAGGGAGGATGGGGGAGAGAACCATTAGTTTAATGTTATTGAAACTTGCCAGAACGTCTTTCATGAGCCTTGAGAGCAAATAAACATTGCTGATGAGGGATGTACTTGACGGAATTATGATAGCTCCCTGGAGTGCCACCTTTAGAATAACAACTTCTAGTGGACAGGAGCTCTCTTCTGAACTTCTTTTTTAACTGTGCCTAACAAGGTGGAAAAGGCAGCGTGGTAATTCAAGTTGCTTCCTTATCAAACAAGCTAACATATATGAAGCATTTTCCAAACTTTAATGCGTTCTACAAGATCTAACTAGTCAATAGTCAATAAACGTTTATTAGGCACATAGGGCAGCTAGGCGGCACGGTGGATAGAATCAGGCAGACTTACCTTCCAGAGTTCAAATCTGGCCTCAGACACTTGCTAGCTGTGTGACCCTGGGCAAGTCATTTCACCTTTTTTGCCTCAGTTTCCTCATCTAGAAAATAAACTGAAGAAGGAAATGGCAAACCACTCTAGAATTTTTGCTGAGAAAACCCCAAAGCTGAAATAACTGAACAACAAAATGTGCCAGGCACTGTGCTAACAGTGGGGATACAAATATGAAAAAAGATGGTCCCTGTCCTCAGGGAGCTTACAATCTGTAGAGAAAAACAGGAAGTGGAAAAGACACAGGGTTGGGGGTAGAAGTACCTAACTCAGGGGGCATGGTGGAAAAGTCAGAGCAGTCTGAAGTGAGACATGAGGAGATAGGTCTGTTTCTTATACATAATCCCTTGATCCCCACCATGCTCCAGTGAGTGGGCATAGATGACTATTTTCTGGGCAATAACAATAATAATAATAATAATAATAGGGGGCTTTCATATAATATCACCTTACATATAGATGGTAACAAATAATAAATAATAATCATAAAAAGTAGCATCTGTATGTTGTGATGTGAAGTTTGCGAAGCCCTTTATAGATGGACAAGTCAGCTGCTCAAGGTCATACAAATATGAAGCGGCAGAGTAGAGCCTGGAGCCCTCAGATCTTTTGATCTCCAGCCCAGGGTTCCACGTGCTTTACACTTCACTACATTGCTCCTTAAGCCTGTTGTAATTAGATCAGAAATTGCTCAAATAGAGGATGCCAATTAAATGCCCATCAAGTGCTGCATTCATCAGGGCTTTTTATAAATCCTCAACGTGCAGGTTGGCCCCGAGCTGGTTGTGATCTTTCTCTCGTCACACTCTCTCACCACCCTGGTGTGGTGTCCAAGGGAGGGGCTCTGACCTCTTGCTCTCTGTTGTTTTGGCCAGCCGAGAACAAAACTCTTCCTCGCTCTAGCTCCATGGCAGCTGGTCTGGAGCGAAATGGCCGAATGAGGGTGCAAGCCATCTTCTCCCATGCTGCTGGTGACAACAGCACCCTTCTGAGCTTCAAAGAGGGAGATCTCATCACCCTGCTGGTCCCCGAGGCCCGGGACGGCTGGCACTATGGCGAGAGTGAGAAAACTAAAATGTGAGAGCTGCTGGGGCGATTGTCCCTGCCATTGCCTTCTTTTGTCTCCTGATTTGGCCAGTGGGAAGCCCCCTCCCTGAATGCTAGGCAGATCCCTCTCTGCTGAGAAGACTGGGCAGAGTTTGAGTTGTAGGAGATTGGGGAGGCCTGGCATTCTAATTTGGGGGCCCTAAATCACCCTACCACTTTTTAGTAATCTGAAACTATTGCTTAATGCTCTAGCCAGCTCACTCATTCCTCGGTTTCTCCAGTTGCCACTATTGTTCCCCCCCCACCTCACTTCTTTGTTGGGGTATCCTACTCTCAGCTCCAAAACTGGCTTCCTAAATTCTGTCTCTGTGAATTTACAACCCTAAACCAGACCAGAACAGCTTTGGGCAAGACAGCACGGGGGAGGGACAGCTACAGACTGATCACTGTCTAACACGTAAGCTGCAACTGGCTTGCTTCTGCCCCTGGGTTGGAGACTCATTCTGTGATCTTGGTTGCCTTAGTGATATTTTTGAAGAGCAGAGAGGTCTCTGAATGATTACCCAGTTCCTGCCCTAGTCCTTGGGCCTTTTTATAGTCTGCCCTTTTTGTGTGTAGTTCTGGGAATAATTTGGGATTCAGATGTGTGCTCGCTGCCAAGTCCCCTGGGCAATACCATGGCACTGAAAATGTCCCTTGCCCTCCTTGGGGCACGGAGCTATCCCTATGGGTGACCTGCTTCCAGAAATGAAAGATCTGCAGATGGCCCTGGCATGGCCGTTCCTGTGGCAGAGCCCAACATCCTCAGTGATGGGATTGTGGCCAGCTGACCCACAAATGTGCAGCCTCCCTCATTCTGCCATGACCGCAGAGGTCACACTGCCTCCGGCCCTGCTCTTCTCAGCAGGGCCTCAGCTGGCCGTTTCATGGGCAGTGTACCTTGGAGTGGCTTCAAGCAGGAGTATGGACAGATCTGAATGCTTTCTATGTGTTAGACCTACCTGTGAAAAGGGATGGATTGGGGCAAAGTGAAAGGAAACAAAGAGATAAGGTGGAAACAGACAAAACCCCCATTTTGTGAATTGAGGGAGATGTGGGCACTGAAAAATTGCCATGACTGATGGTGGTGGGGCTAAAATGCTTGAGTTTCCAAGTTGCCTATCTACTTCAAAACCCCTGTATATTTTGGCTGGAAGGCAAGTAAGTGGAAAGGGTGTCCCAGCGAGTACAGTTTTCCCAGCTAGTGCATGAATATCATTTGAGGTGAGAACGCCAGGGACCCCTCCCTCTTCTTACTTTTGTGTGGTTCTCTTCCAGGAGAGGCTGGTTTCCTTTCTCCTATACCCGGGTCTTGGACAGTGAAGTCAGTGACAGATTGCACATGAGGTAAGCCACAACCCTTGGGCCTGGAATGGGTTTGGAGGCAGTAACAACTCAACATTTGTGCTGCAGTCAAGATGAATGAATTGTCCTTCAGCACGGTGTTCTGGCCCCGTCCCAGGGACAAAGCCAAGACATCAACCCCCTCTTTCACCCTCCCCACCAAACAGGACCCAGGACCTAGTGTCCAACTGAGAAGCATAGAAGGCAGCCAGGTGACACAGTGGATAAGTTCTGGACCTGAAGTCAGGAAGCCCTGAGTTCAAATCCAGCTTCAGACACTTACTAGCTCTCTCACCCTGTGCAGGTCACTTAATCTCTGCCTCAGTTTTCTCATCTGTAAAATGGGGATGATAATAATAGCACCTATTTCTCAGGGTTGTAGTGAGGCTCAAATGATTTGATTGCTGTAAAACGCTTAGCATTGTGCCTGGCATATAGTAAGCGCTATGTAAATGTTAGCTATTAATATTATCATTGCTGTTTTTATTTTGTTATTATTATTGTTGTCTTAGATTTAGATCTAGAAGGGACCTTAGATGTCATCAAACCCAACTGCCTCATTTTAAAGATGAGGATGCTGAGATCCAGATAGGTGAAGGGCCAGCCAAGCCTGGTCCCTACTAGCTACCTCTGCTTCTTGAGACTCCTCTGCTCCCCCACCACCTCAGCAGTTAAGGTCCCAGGCAACCTTGAAAACTCATCTCTCAGACCCAGAGAAAAAAGTGGGACTGGACCTTGTGTTGCCAGCCCTGTCCCCGCATCCTCAGAGCTGTGGGCATGCAGAGAAGGCTGGCTGGTGAATCGGGACATGAGGGCAACTGGCTTCTGGAGCCTAGGTTCCAAGCCTCTTTAGGAAGGGACAGGAAGATGTCATGTGGATCAGAGAAGAAGATGCTATGAGGGCAAAAGGAAATAGAAAGGGGTAGGGGGGGAAAAGCTAGTGAGAGATTCTTGGAGACAAATAACATCTAACCTTAAGGGCAGCAGGCCTGACGCTGCCTTCTCTTCCTGATTGCTCTGGGCTCTGTCCACAACCCAAGCGCGTGCTCTGACCTGAGGAGTGGTCACTTTGACCTTCTGACAGGAGAAGTTTGGTCCACTGTAGAAGTGGTGGGAGGGCCCCACATAGTAACAGATATATAGGCAGGCCGTGGAGCTGGCATTTGGGCAATGGTGACTGTCTTTATAGGTCTTAATGGGGAAGGAAGAAAAGATGGAAAGGAATAAGCATGAGATCACTTTCTAGTCTTGGCTCAGAGACAGCCTGGTCACAAATTCCCAAGTATCTCATTGTTTAGGGTTTGTCCATACAAATTAGAAAGTCCCAGATGGGAACCTGACAAAATGTTTGAAATTTAGGCAACTGAATCAGCAATTTAATTTGGCCTTCAACCATAACCTAGGATCAACTTTTAAAAATTTTTTTTTGCTGTCTTTTGTTTTTATATAACCTTCATTTCCAAGAACATCCCTTTCCCTCCCCAGTGATCATCTCTTGTAATCGTGATTTTTAAAAGAATGTGAGAGGGGAAAAGCATTTCAGTAAAATCAATGAACACATTAATCATGTCTGAGAGTGTATGCAATATTCCACACCGGTAATCCCGCACCTCAACAGAGAGGGATGGGAGGTGCATTTTTTCCTGCTTTTCTTTGAGGTGGGGGCCAACTTCTTACACAATAACAGGATGGGGGCAGCTAGGTGGTGCCGTGGATAGAGCACTGGTCCTGGAGTCGAGAGGATCTCAGTTCAAATTTGGCCTCAGATACTTATTAGCTCTGTGACCCTGGGCAAGTCACTTGACTTTGATTGCCTCCCCCAAAAACCAAAATAACAGGATTGGGATGATTAGTTTGGTAGGAAATGAGTGTGAAAATAGGGATTCCCTCCTGGTGCTGAGGTGAAGTGGTTGTGGCCCCCTGAAGTCATCCTGCCTGCTGGAGGTGGGAGGGTGGGGGGGTGGGATAGAGGACCTGAACCTCAAAGCAAACTGTTACCTAGAGAGCAGAATGTGGCCTTCACTTGCCCCATCTTCCCTTGTTTCCTGTAGCCTGCAGCAGGGAAAGAGCAGCAGCACAGGCAACCTGCTAGACAAAGAGGATCTGGCTATCCCACCCCCGGATTATGGTGTGTCCTCGTCAAGGGCCTTCCCTGCCCAGACGGCCAGCACCTTCAAGCAAAGACCCTACAGTGTGGCTGTACCTGCCTTCTCCCAGGTAAGAGCATGCTACCCGGCCATGGCACAGGGCTTCTGGAGCCATGCCTTTACTCTGACTCGTCTGGGTAGAAGGCTAAAACCTGGGGAGCTGAGCCATGAAGGTCCTTTGGCGGGGTGGGATCTAGAACCTCCTCTTCATTTTCTTGGTGGGGGTGTTGACACATGAGCAAGGTTGGTTTTCATGTTGGCTTCTTATTTGCCACCTCTCCTGAGGTATGGGGAATGACCCATGGAGAAAGGGTAAAAATAAAACAAAATGGAAAAAAACCTTCCTTCTCTGGATGAACACCTTATGGTCCCTCAAGCTATTCCCTTCCATTTGTTAAACCCGTCCTGCCTCCTCCTGGAGTATCACCAGCTGGGAACAGGATCACCTTACTTCAACTTTATACTATGTACAAGCTTCTTGGTTAAATAAACCTTGACCAAAAAAACCTGTGGTACCATCCCCCTCAAAATGCTGTGTACATCCCCAAACACAGAAGAGGTTTGGCCTTGCTTGTACCATAGGGGGAAGGGCTTCCTTGTGGGTCAGTTTCAGATCATTGAGATTTTTCTCCCAAAGTTCGTTGCAGGATTTCCTTACAACTTACAGTAAAGCGTTTAAAGACAGTGCCAGTGGCCTCTGCCAACCACTCCCTGCTTGCTACCAGCCGTATACTAAGGCAACAGCAATGAATCCTGGCACATACCATGTTTCCATTGCAACCATCATGCCTCAGCCAGTGCAGCCTTTGGGTTTAGTGTTCTTTTGTTCTGGGCAAAGGTGTGACTTAAAACCAGTGTGGGAGAGAAGAGCCCTTTTCCAAAGCTCAGGTGGCCTGGAGGAGCCCTTTGGAACCTAGCTGGACAGCCAAGTAAACACCCAATTGAAAATGGAACCTTCGGAGCTGCGCTCATCATTATTAGAAACAGCCTTCATGGTTGGTGGAGCCCTCTGATCTTCTGGCTCAGCTCCTTCAAACAGGGCCTAGGGTTTATTTTTGTTTGTTTTGCAAACCTGGGGAAAAATATTGCCAGCTTGAATATAGAGGATGGCTTCATGTGACTCCCTTAGCATGTCACCACTGACCCATGGGGGTAGAAGGGATCATAGTCCATTTCTTTACTCTATCCTCTTCCACCGAGGGGAACAATATATGTCATGCTAAGTAGCATGATCTCAATTTTGCAAAGGATAATTAGCCCATTAACAAGTATATTGAATATCTACTAAGGGTCTAGCACTATGCTAGGCACAGGAAAGGGAGGGGACACCAAAATATAAAAGCACCTGCCCTTTAGGAGTTTACTCTCTAGCTTGGGAAAGCTAGAAACACACGAAACAAATACAGAATACATTTAAAAAATAAATTTCTATTGTCTTTTTACATTGGGCCTGCATTTCCCAAATGTATCTCTTCTCTCCTACCCCCACCTGCCAAAGAGCCATTCCACATACTGTAACAATAACTGGAGAGGAAAACACTTCATTCATACTAACCAACATATGGAGGGAAAGCTGACATAATATGCAGGATTCCAAGCCTGTAGTCCCCTGCCTCCCCATAGAAGCAGTGGGAGTTGTCTTCTCGTATCTCTCCTTTGGTGCCAAACTTGATCATTATAATTTTGTAGCATTCAGCTTGACCTATTTTGTCACGGCTGCTCCCATTTCTGTTGTCATTGTCATTGTTTTTGTAGTTTTCTACTTCTCCTTACTTAACTTTGCATGGGTGTATATGGCTTCCCATTCCCACATTCATCATTCCTTCCAGCTCAGTCATATTCCATTACATTCATGTACCACAACTTCTTTGGCTATTTTTTGATCAATGGATGTTTGCTGTATTTCCAGTTTGGGGCTATTGTAAAGAAAATTAGAGACTAAGCCCCGCATTGTGTTGTGTGGTTTACTAGGTAGTCTGGGGGGTGGGGGGAAGGAAGAAACAAGCACTTACAAAGCACCTGTTATGTGCCAGGCACCGTGCTTTACAAATATCATCTTACCTGATAATATTTCCTTAGAGAAAGGAGAGTTCATTGGTTGCAATGGAATTTGAGAAGAGGGGTCGGAAAGTCAGAGGGCTTGTGTTCAGATCCCGACTCTGCTGCGTTCACTGCCTGTATAACTTTGGACAAATCCTCTAACTTCTCAACTTCTCATTTGTAAAATGATGGGGCTCAACCGTATGACCTCTAAAGTGTCTTTGACCTTGAAATCTGTGATTCTAGGATGTTCCTCTCAACCCCATCATGTGATAGGATTTAAGCCTGTACCTGAGGGATAGTTAAAATTCATAGAGATGGAAGGTAAGGGTAGGGGGGGCATTCTAGATTGGGACAATAGCATATTCTGAGAAACAATTGGTCTTGGTGATAGAGTGAGCAGAAAGAAGTCAGTTATGTATAACTTTTTTTTTCATATATTTTCTTTTCCTGTTGTACTTTGCTATAGAATCAAGACAAACTCTTTAGGTCAACAACAACAGTAATGAAGTTAGCTTTAGGCCTAGAAGTGTTAACAGAAGAAGAGCTCGTGAATTTTCTATTTTTTTCCTCCCTTCTAGTCCACACAAGTCTATTCACAGAAGTCAGGTCACCTGCATTGCCGCTTATTGTTGGGCTTTGGGAGCTACCCCTGTGGCTTCCTGCTGGGAGGGAATTCTCCATAGGGAACGGGGCTTTGGGCCCAGAACAGCTAGGCAACTTGCCCATGGATTCTTGTTATCCAAGAGGGTGACTCTGTCTTGGGCATCCCATTATAACGAAAGGGGAGCCAGGGTGCAGGTAATACACAGATCATTTCTGTTTGACTTTTGGATTGCAGTCAGGGACACTTATCCGCTTCTGTGCTCCCCTTCTATTTACCCTTGTGCTTGACACCTAAAGCCTTCTTTTGGCAGGGCCCTATGTGAGGGAATAGCCATGTGTGCAGGAGCCATAGCTGCTTTCTGGTTCCCTCCCCTGTATCCTCCATCTCTCAATGACTTGTCTCAATGACAATGACTCCATCTCGGTCCCTTCCTCTTTCTGCCCTATTCTTATCTTTCTCTGCTGCCACTCCAGAAGAAGAGACTGAGCTGGGTGGGGGTGGAGTATACCACACCCATAGCCTGCGGGGGTGTTGATTGATTGGGAAGAGTTGTTGTATCAGGCAGTTCTATACCTCTTTCTCCAGGGGGTGAGATACCAAGCAAACTAGACGGCTGACCACTAAGGCCTCCAGTTTATGGTTCTGGTGCCAAGGGCAGGGACAGGAAAAAAAAAAGCTGCAAATCGTCATTTTTAGTGTTCTGAGACCGACTATTTTGTCTTAGCTTTCTATTTGTGGGGCACTTCCACAGGCCCCTGTCCTGTGGAAAGTCATCTTTGTGGCTAGGGTTTTTTTGTTTGTTTGGTTGGTTTTTTTGGTGAGGCAATTGGGGTTAAGTGACTTGCCTACATAGCTAGTAACAATCTGGTCTGAGGTCGGATTTGAACTCAGGTCCTCCTGACTCCCGGCCTGGTGCTCTATCCACTGCGCCACCTACCTGGCCCTTGAGGGGGATTTTCTAAAGGGGACATACACAACATCTGGTTAGCCTATTCCTGTGCTTTGCATTTCTACCTGTGTCTTGAGTTTCTGTAGTTTCTTAGTTGGCATTAGAAATGAAAGATTGACATGCCGGTGTTGCATCTGCCCCATTTGGCAATGTAGTATTAGGCCCATCAGAAACCCCTGTAGTTGCTCCTGTGGCCAAGACCCTATGTGAGAAGTGCCAGCAAAATCTGAAACAGACCCAGCTGACTTCCCTGAGTGCCCCTCACCGGTAATCACCTGGTCATTGGCATTGAAATGTGTGTGTTTCTAGACAACCTCTAAACAGCCGCAGCGAAGTTAGGAGTCTCGAGAGAGTGGAATCAACCTGAACCCAGCCCCTTGGAGACCCAGTCTTGGGGAAGTGCACCAGGGTATGCACCAGGTGGTCCACAAGATTAAAGGATGGGATGGGTTATCTTGGACAGGAAATGGATGTGAAATTAGAGGTTCCCTACTGGTGCTGAGATGAGGTAAATGTGGCCCTGCTGGGGGAGTAAAAAGACCTGAACCTTGATGCAAACTGTGACCTGAAAGCAGAGTGTGGCCTTCACACCCCCATCAAGTGGTCTAGTGTATACCCCAATGCACCTCTTCTGAGACTGGCTTCCAAGGGGCTGGATTCAGGTTGAATTCACTCTCTCCAGACTCTTAACTTGGTTTCCTGAACCAAAGTCTGTCAATTATAGAAGCCACTACATGTAGGAAGAGGAGATAAGCCCGCTGGCCCCTTCCTGACCCTCTTCAGCTAGGCCCCCTCAAACAATACCAATTCCGAAATCAATCTTTGAATTTTGTTTGTTGTGAAAGTCTATTAGGACTTATTCCTTCTGAAGCTTCGAGGAGTAGGGAGCTTTGCCAGACTCGTCCTCTATAATTTATGGCTTGCGGTCTGAGGCTATCGTTTTTCCCAGGAGAGTTTGTGTTGAGACAGGGATAGTACCAAGGGTACCTTCAGATGTGTGATGTGAAGATCACTATTCTTTTGTGCATCCTTGGCTGTGTGTCTCACGTGCATCTCACCATATGAAAGCATTCAGCTTGAATAGACAATTATACGTTCCAGTTAAATTTACTGTAAAATACTGAAGCCTTCATCTCTGGTGATTGACAACTCCTTGGTATAGTTCAGAGCTACTGCTGTGAGATTATACAGCTGCTAAGTGCCCAGCAGAGAGGTTAGGAGCCCCTGCCCCAGTCTTCAGGAGAAGCCCAGGGGGAGGGGTAAAACCCTTGGCATGGTGATGGCCTAAAAAGGATTTGTTCTGTGAAGTCTGGATTCAGTCAAAGGGACACACTTGATGACCCAGAGGGCCACATATGGCCTTGAGGCCACAGGTTCTCCACCTCTGGCCTAGGGAAATATACTGAATCTTTTTTCCTCAATGCCTGAAAAAAGTTTGTTTGGTCTACCTTCGCTCAGGAGGGTCCCTGATCCTCTTCCCCCTCCTCAATTAATACATATGTCATTTAGTGCCCTACCATCTCTCCCTGAGTCTCAGCGCAACAAATGTTTCCTCATGCATTCCACATTGTCTTCTCATGGGGTATATTACCTCCCTACCTCCACCTAAGAATTAAAGAAACCCACTTGTATGTGAAATGGAAGAACAGAGAACCCATCCCGTGTTCTTTTCCAGAAGAATACTAGAACCCAGCCTTCTCTTCCTCTGTCTCCAATAAGTTGAACCCGGCACATTCTCAGGGTTGGCCATGCTAGTGTGTAACTTGCAGAACTTGCAACTGATGTGTTGATTATCCTTTTGCTTCCCCAGGGCTTAGATGACTATGGTTCCCGATCTGTGAGCAGGTAAGAAGGCTTTCTATTTCTTTGTTTTCTACCTTTACTTTGGGCTGAGCGTGCCACCTTTAGGCTCAGGAAGATGAGGATTTCACTGGCCAGGGAACTGGGGTGGGTTGTTCCCATCTGTAGTTTGTAACGATCACCCCCACAGGCCTGCCTGGATGGTAGCATGGAAGGAGTGGGAGAGGGATCTGGTGGGTAGGTAGATGGGCTTATGTTAGGCCTCTGGGCCAATAAAATACATTTAGGAAGAAATCACGTTCAGGCTGTTACTCAATCACTGAGCTCTAGGAGTCTTTTCCTCTGTCAGAGCCCATTCTTGGGGAGCTGTTTTTCAAGGTTGGACAGCTTGCCTCCGAGCTGGCCAGACAAATCCCTAGGGTATCTGGATGATAAATAGGTGCTCCCCTAGCCCTTTTGCTGCTCCCTCCTATACCCAAATTAGAAAGCATACATTACCTCGTTTGGATCTACGTACAGTTGTCCTGTTGATGATGGGGTAGGGTGGAGGATTTCATCCTTATTATCATCTCCCTTTTGTTACGGGTAACCGAGGGGTCACAAGTTGACCTTTCGTGGAAATGTTGAGATACTACAGCAGACTACTAGCCAACATTTTTATAGATTGAGCTGGGCATCTAGCAGAGGGTGTTAGGGTCCCACAGCCATGGCATTAATTATCAGACACTTGAACTCCTGTCCTTTCACCCTTAGTGTGGCCCCCTAATCCCTTGTCCCCATCCTCCAGAGGTGAGCCAAGAAAAGGGGTCTCAAGTTCTTGTCATAGAATCTTAGAATGGAAAGGTTCCAACCCCTATCTGAAGGATGAAAAATCTCTACACATGAGGCAGGCCTGATTGTATAGCACTGGGATTTCCTGTGACTTCTGGGCAAGCTTGGCTCACTTGGCAGACAGAGAGCCCTCCTCCCCACTTGAAAGGTGCAGGGCATTTTCCCGGCTCTAAACTTGGGACCCATGGCCCAAAATAGGTGGCCACCCTAAAAAGGCAGAGAATAGAATCCACCCGAGGTAAAGTAGCTGACATCCCCAGCTATAGCTTGTGCTGCTACCTTCTCCCATTCTTCCACCCTGGGGCTGGGGGTCCTAAAGAAATTAAGTACTAGTCCATTGAGGTCTGCTAGGGAGGGATGCCTGCTGGAGCTTCAGAAAAGAGATATTGCATGGGAAGGGTGGGGTAGGCCTGTGTGCCTGGGGTGCAGGGATGGGGAGGAGCAGGGTCTGTTGTCCTTTGGATACACCATGAAGTGTTCGGTCTGGCAGTTCTCCTGTACTTTTCTGTTTCACAGTGGCAGTGGGACTCTGGTCTCAACAGTGTGAGGACCCCTTGACTAGAAATGGCACCTGCTGCTTTGAAGAGATTTTCTGCTTCTCTTTCCCCTCCCCTCCCCTGCCTTGATTTCTCTGGTTTATTTGGTCTCTCCCTTTTTCTTTTTCTCCTTCTTCAACTCATTGGTTTGTTCTTGGGTAGACTTTTTTTCCCCTTTGCCTTTTGTTTGGTGACATTTTAAACTCTGTGATCATCAAGGATCCATGGTGCTGCTTCATCTCTGTTTCTTTATTCTTCGTCCCTGCCCTGCCTCCAACTCTGGTCCAAAGCCTTTCAGAGTGCAAACTGCCCAGCCGGGGGCTGCTCCCTTGGGGAGCAGCAGCTTGGATGCAGTGTCTACAGCCTTTCTGCTGCCCACTTTGGATGTTGACAATGCATTATCCCTTTTCTAAAGCTCTTTCCTGAGCCATGTTTAGAGTCTGAAGGCAAAAAACAAACAAAAAAACTCCTCAGCAGATAAAGGACTCCCTCCATGGCACCCCAAAACACAAGCACACTCACACACACCACAGAACAAAACACATCCAAATCCAATATGCATGGACTATGGTGTACGTACTGTTATTATTATTTTTTTTTTCAATATGACTTTCACTGGGTTCACTGCCCAATTTCTTTATTAGGAAAGGGAAGGCAGACTAAAAGCTCTAGAGAGACTAAGGTCTTTCTCTTTGAGGGCAGGCTTGAAATGCAATCCCCACGCCTCAACCTATCCCCTTATCCCCTTGCCCCTGGGTGGCATATAGAAAAGTGGATCGTCAGGCTTTGGCCCATTAGGAAAGCTGGCTGGCTCTCTGTGAAGGAGAGTATCTGCTTAGGACCCAGCCCAAGGGGCCAATCAAAAGCGTCTTTCTCAATGAAGTTGTTTTATAGGTGTACATAGAATATATATGTATATATATATATATATATATATATATATATATATATATCTTTTTTGTAGCAGGGTATTGTTACCTCACTTTAGCGCACCTGGGTAGGGGCTGGGGAAGGAATACGCACCTGACTAAAGAGAATTCCAAAGACCTTGATCGATTGATCGATCTATCTATCTTAACTATAGCGATAGATAGATAAAGATTATAGGTATAGAGATATATATATATATATTTTTTTTCCTCCTTCCTTTTGGAATTATTCCTTCAACCAGCTTTGCAGATTAGTCCCTACCATGTGTGGTAACACAAATGACATTAAATGATTGGACCTCATTTCTCTGGGCAAGTGGCTGTTTGCAAGGCTGCTTTAAAAACCAGGGCCCCAGGCTGTCCCTTTATAGGGAGGGGTGGGGTAAGCAAGCAGTCTCCTGTTGCATTCTTTCCTAAACACTGTCCATCTTTTTGTATGTCTTGGTCACTTTAGAAACAAACACATGGGACTCAATGGCACTGGTATTGTTTCTTCACCCACTGAATTCTGTCTGGGAAGTGAGTGAAGGGCCAACAACCCCACTTTACCCTTTCCGTGTTGGTGAAAGCCTTCATTGTGAAGCCGTAGACACTTCCTTTTCCGGTGTGATTTTAAAACCTCCTACCTACCTGTTGACTAGGATGTTGTTGGCAATACATATGACATGTAGAGAGAGAAAGCAAGAGAGGGGTTCTTGTTTTGTGTTAAAAGGGGCGGGGGGAGGGAGAAGACAGAACACGGACCTGTGTACTAAGAACCCTCCGTGTTGGGGTGATGATGTTGCTAAAAGATCTTAAATCCAGGGGATTTTATGCTCAGTGGATTGAATGTATACACAAAATAGCAAAACTTGTATGAAGATTGTAAAGTACTGAAATTTTTTTTCCTTTTTCCTTTTTCCTTTTATCTTTTTATCTTTTTTTTTTTAATCTGAAGAGAAACGTGCCCTGTACTGGAGTAAATTGTTCGAATAAAAGTTTTATTTATTGCATTGAGTTGGGCTTCAGTGACTTTTTTGAGTTTTCCTGTTTTGTCAGTGACCAGACTTGGGTATTGGGCATGTGACAGAAGAGATTGTTGCATATCTAGAAATATCTCCGCAAAACACTTCTGATGCCGCCTCATGACATGGAGGTGTGAACCTGGCTTCTCAGAGGCTAATCCATAAATGCACAATCTCTGCCAGCACTTAAGCAAGCTGCAAAGGCCTTGAATGTAGGCAAAGTGATGGACTATGCATGTTTATTAACCATGGACCACCATTCTCTGCCAGCACTTAAGCAAGCTGCAAAGGCCTCGAATGTAGGCAAAGTGATGGACTATGCATGTTTATTAACCATGGACCACCATTCTCGCCAAGGGCAGAGGGATGGCACGTCACTAAGTTGGCTACAGCGTGATGAATTTTTTTGGCCACATAAACTCTTGAAGAGAAGCTACTCCTTCACAGAGGCCATGTATGTAGACACATTCAGCAGCATGATATATAGTGAACTGTTTTTCTCTTTTCCTTCAGTGGATTGGTGTTTCCAGTCCACTGGCTTCATTTCTCTTCTCTGGATAACTCCTCTGAGATAATATTGTGAGAGGGAATGGTTAATGACCTGATGGCCTGGCAGAATAACTTCGTATTTTTTTTAAGTATTCTTTTTCCCTCCCTAGGCAAGCAAGAAAGGGACTAGCTGGTATGGAATGTAAGCCTGGGATAGAGTGTGTGTTTGTAAGGGTTGGGGTTGGGATGTAGGAGACCAAGCCCAGGGTTCCCATTGCTTTGATTCTTCAGCTTGAATGGAATTGGAGAACTTCCTTCTGGGGAGCATGGATCTAGTAAAGGGCATTTGCTCTTTTGCTTGTCAGGCTCCCATTATGGGGCAACATGCTCCATGAGCTTACAAGTAAATCTTGGTACCACCTGAACAGTTGACCTAAAGGAAGAGAATGTTTGATTTACTGTTTCTTTCTCCTACCCACCACCCCTGGGTAGGCTTAGGCACCCTTAGGCACCCTTGGTCTCTTTTCCTTCATACATGCCATTTTTGCGCTTCTGAAGGGTAAAATGTGTGGGATCTTTTTAAATTTTTTTTTTCTCAGCAGAAGCAGGGTACAAACAAAATTCTTGGTGTCAAAGTACCAACAGCTCCATTGAGCTCCTTGTTTGTCCTCAGATTAACACAATGCCCTTTTGCTTACCCAGGGTGTATAGGCTCTCCTCTCATACCAACTGCATTTTGTTTTTATTGCAGCGCTGATATTGAAGTGGCCAGGTTTTGAACTGCCCCCCCTGACTAGAGTTAGTAAGTTGCTCCAAGTTTTCATGTACCAAACAATCCTCCCTCACTGCCCAGTGGCTCTGGACAGACTCCTCAGATGTTGGCCTGCTTGGGGCGGGTGGGCGCGGGGTGGGCACAGCGGGGGTGGCGGCAGCAGCACTGCTGACCCCACCTGAGCACAGAGTCTGATCTGTCCCCGTCTCTGAAGCTTAGTAGCCAATGCCTGAGAGTCTGTTGAGAGTTGTGGCTGGCTCTAGTCCTTCGCTTTTACCTAAATCCATTGGGAAAAGGTTGATTCCCTCCTTCGGCCCTGAAAATGGATTTTCTCCTCCCTTTCCTTTCTTTGCCCTCCTCTCGTCTCCATTCAGTCTGGAAGCTTCTGGTTTCTCTGTTGCCAGCCAGCACATGTGTTGCTGCACGCCCCATGCCCAGAATGAACCTGGTTGACCTCGGCATCCTCTTCTCTCTGCATCACTCCTGGGGTGTGGGGTCTGACTAGCTCTTTGGGATTTTCTCTCCGGCTGCTGCTGAGCCCTTCCCAGTGCTATGCTTCTGCCACCAATCAGGAATGAGTCATTTACCAGTGATCAGGCTTTTCTTCAGAAATGCTTTCATTAGTTCTCGTCCGAAGCAGTTTAACCTGCTTGAGGATTTCCTTTGGTGTGTCTCGGCTCCTTGTATCGATGAGACACGCAGCGTTTAGCTTTTTCTCAAGTGCCTTTTTCATCTGCACAGTCTGGCCTGAGCCCTGGCCCCTCTGAAGTAGGTGAGTATTGCCTTGAGCAAGCAGGCCTGGGGAGAGATGATGCTCCCTCAGCCTGGGCAGGGAGGGGTGTGATCTCCTGAATCCTGAGCCGGAGTTTCCCACTCTGGTCTTGCCCTGAGCCTCAAGAGTGGCGGCATTTTGTGCTCTGTTTCCAAAGAGTTGCCATCTGGCTGGACCTGCCACCCAGGGAGCCAGAACATAAGTGTCTGTCCCCCTCCCCCCCAGCAATACACATACTCCCTCTCCAAATTTTACTCCATTGAGTGAACCTTGAGCAAAATGTTCAGTCGCCTGTCTTGGCTGGGAGCCCGCCTGCGTGTAGGATGTGAAGTAGGTACCTCGTTGGAGGTGTGGATGAGCTTTTGTTGTTTTTGTGTCTGTCGGAGCTGAGGGTCATGTGGTGAGAGTCACCAACCGTCTGGCCGCTTTGGCTCAGCTGAGGGGATGCTGGGCCAGAGGCCCTGGGAGGCCAACTCCTCTGCCCTCTGCTCCCCCCTCAACTCAGCTAGCGTGATTCTGTTCTTGCTTGTCTGTGGTTGTCCACCCCACTCCCCACCCTGCCAACTTCCTGCCCTTCCAGCTGGGTTCCAACATGTTTTATCTAATCTCCCTGCCTCTGTTTCCAGAATAGTTCCCTGTCCCAAATTTATAAAGTGAGAAGAATTAAATTTCCCCAGGCTGCTTGTCTAGCTTAGAGAGCTGCTGCTTCCGTACTAACCCTTATTTCAGGGAAAGGTCCCTGCCAGCCCAAGGAATAGATGCTTCCCCTTGAAACGGGTCATTAAATAGAGGGGCAGTGAGGGAATGACCTCGTTGCTATAAATAACTCCTCTAATAATAATGGCTTATATGGGTATAGCATTTTATGGTTATAAAGCACCAAATTAGATTTCATTTGATCCTCCCAAATAGTCTTGTGAGAGACTCAGGATAGGTATTGCCCCCATTTTGCAGATGAAAAAACTGAAGCCCAGAAAAATCTGAATGACGAAAAGCTTGATCAAGCTAGGATCAGAACAAGTCTCCTGACTTGCAGGTCTGTCCAGTGCTCTAGGACCTGACGGAAGGCGAGGTGGTGCTCACATCTGCACCTCCTCTCTGCCCCCACCACTGCCACCTCTGACCCGGGCACTCTTAAAACAGATATGAATGATTTCTTTCCCCTCAAATTCTCCCACAGCAAGCATAACAGCCAGGTCTGAACAGGAATCTCTCCTCTCCTCCTAAGATCTAATGTCTAAGCCCCAAGCTTGGACACTTTCAGCCATATGGCAGGATTATGTTTTCTAACCACCCACTTGGCTTGCAGATTCTTCTCACCCTTATCTTCTCTTTCTGTTTTTATCTCTGTTTCTTTGTCTCTGACTGTCCCCCTCTACCCCCACCACCTTATTCAAGATGGACTGCCCCAAGTACTTTTCTCTCCTTCCCCTTTCACAGATTAAGCCATATATTAGGGGATTCCATCAGAGTTTTGCCCTCCAAAGATACCCCCCACCCCTGCCTGGGCTGGGCCGGGCCAGGCCCCCATCACTACTTCCAAGGCCTGGTTACCAGACAGCAGGGCCACAAAAGAGTTTCAGAAGGAAGAGAATGATAATAACTCTGGGCCATGGGATGGAAGACTCCCAGTTGTGGCTGGAGCCCTGTCTGCCTTTGACCCTACTTGGAAACAGTATAACTGCTTTCAAGTGCAGGACTGTCCTTGACACATTCCCTTGGAGTTTTATGCTGGGAGAGGTGTAGGAAGGAAGTCCAGAAGAAGCCTGGGCCCCTAGGGAGCTGCTGACCAGGAGGCTGGCTTTCCTGTCAAGGACAGTGGAGTGCAGTGCTGTCCACTCTAGATTCTGTGTGCCAATATAGAAGGCTTGTCAGAGTCAAGGACAGTCCCCAAACTGCTGCTAAGTCTAATGCCACTTCTGTTCGCATTTTCTCTTCCTGAGGAATTGGTGCAAGCAGATGTGTCAGTGAGCTTGAACTCTTGGTTTGCGCTCCAACCCCCATCCCCACACCACTGAGAGGCAGGGCAACTCCAATCCAAGATCTAACACATCAAGAATCCTCTTTAGAGAGGCCACTCCGCAAGAGATAATTAAGTATTGATTAATCCAAGCCCTGATTTTGCTGATTTCCTGCAGTCACAGTTAACCTCCATCAGAGAAAACACTGAATTGGGAACAGCTTGGAGAGTTTCCATTTTGGAAAAGGCTAAGTGTTTTGTTTTGCACTCTTTTTTTTTTTTTGCAGTTTTCTAGTGCCTTTTACAAATTTAAGGTCACTGTTAGTTTTTAAAATGTAAAAATGTTATTTAAAAAAAACTTGGTTTGATCATTGAATGTGTTTTACATTATTAATTTTTTATGAAGGAGGTTGGACCCATAACTTCATTTGTGTGGCAGAACTCTTGATGTGGAAACTGCCTGTATTTTATAGCCTTATAGTAGATTACCTGGAGCACTGAAAGCTTCTGTGATTTGCCCATGACAAGTTGGTATGTGTCAGAGGTAGAACATGAACCCACGTCTTCTTGACTACAAGGCTGGCCTTCTATCTATATACACATATAACATATATGTATGTATATGTGTGTGTGCATGTATATATTGGTTTACCATATATGTACATATACACACATGCATACACATATTTTTAACCAACTAAACATATAAATGTATACATATTTATACATATAAACATATGTTTATACATATCAAGACAAAATATACAAACATATATGGCATATAAGTATGTGTGTGAATGTAAATGCACATGTATGTTATATATGCAAATGATTTTTATCAATTTACCAAAGATATAAATATATGCATGTTCATATATAAAACATGTGTTTCTACATATAAACATGTAATAAACATAAACATTGTTTACATACA